TTGTGCAGCTCAACCGAGTATTCCCGAGGTACTTACATATATTATTATGAAATTAAATTAGTGTAATTTATTTAACTGACATATATACACATTAACGATGTCATATTTATTATTGATTTTAGGGCATTTCACCTTGTCAACTCTTTTTAGAGACACCAACTTATCGCATGGTTGGCAAGGGAAAAGTCCATAACACTCTGGGAGAAGTACTTCATCATAAACCGCTCCCTTCTGGATATTTGAAAGTGTCGATGGATATTGCTTTAGAGGAGGGTGCGTTATTACCAATCCCAGATGAAGTTTCGGATGCAACATTGGTGGGAGAGGCAATAGGAGCGTTTGTTGCATGGCCGTCAAGGCTTGTTCGCATAGATGATGAGGTATAATTAAAACCTTTATGAACCTTTTAGTACTCAAATTTTTTACGTTCGTTTTACTTACATTTTTTTTGCATGGTAATGTTAGACTCCTACAAAACTCAAACCAAAAGATAAAGGGATTACGCGGCCAGAGGAGTCAGTGACAGCAAAAAAACAGGTACAACAAAGTTATATGATATTTATGATTAGATAATGTTAATTTGTCGTCCTATACTTGACCACTCTAATTTTATGATATTTAGATTATTCTTGCTAAAGAGATTGAAGATGTAAGTAGGGGTAAGGAGCCTGTAATTAGCAACATTCCCACAGAAACAAAGAGTGTTGCTAAGAGGTTCGGGGCTAGAAAGAAAACTACTTCACAATATAGGTCATGCCTTCAGACATTTATAAGCTTCACAACTATTTCGCAAGGTGGTACTTCTCTTATACCCCTGCATGAAGGGATTTATGGTTCTGAAGGCATGAGAGCAATTGGTAAGGAGGATTTGGAACAAGTTTTTGGACACTTGACATTAGGCATGGCTGTTATCAATACATACATCAGGTATACTCCAATCAACTTTGTTTAATTAATTGCAAAATTTATTTACTCATTTCAATGAATAATTAATGTTAATGATGTTTTTATTTAAGGTTTCTGTATGACAAGTTGATTCGCCCGCGTGGATTGGAGTCCATATTCGCTTTCATAAATCCCAACATTGTCCACGCAGGGTCAATAATCGTAAAACCAGATGAAGTAATAGCATTTGTGCTCAGTTTATTTATGGCCAACAAAGATACAGAAAAATTGTTCTTTTTACCATATAATACTGGCCCCAAGTAAGATTTTCATTCTAAATTACCTCTATTATAATTTTTCGTTTTTTAACGTTGTGCAGAAAATTTCCATCTAACCTTTGTTTAATATTACAGTGGACACTGGTTATTGGTTGCAATTAATCCTGTGAGAGAAATTGTATATTATCTGGATTCATTGGGCAATGATTGGACAACATACTCAGATATGAAGAAGACGATTGACACGTAAGTGACATTGTTCCAAAATATTACTGTGTATATTTAATTATTTATGTGCGATAGTTCTAAATATTCGTTATTATTTTATTATAGCATTCTACAAAGTTTTCGAGCACAAAGAGATATTCAAGTACCAAGGAGTAGAGTCAACAATATTTCTTGGATCAAAGTGGAGGTATAGATTTTCACAGTTTTGATTATATAGCGATGATACTTGATAAAAAAAGTTAAGGTGTATATCTTGATGTATATCCATATTTTCTTTCCATGTGTAGTGTCCTCGTCAGTGCAATGGTGTAGATTGCGGTTATTTTATGTTGAGGTTTATGAAAGAAACTATTCTTTTGGACCGATTAGAGATTCCATCCACGGTATGAATTTCTAACTTAGGAATTATTTTCATATTTCTCATAAAATGACTTAGTATTTTAATTAAATCATACTATGTTATATTATTATGTAGTACTTTGATGAATTCAAGTGTGCTTCATACTCAAAAGATCAATTGGATGAACTTATGGAGGATTGGTGCCAATTTGTTATGGAGTTGAGAGTTTTATTATAAGGTATAACTTTGAGTTTTGAGAATATAATATATGTCGTTATAGTTGTGTTACAATATTATTGTTTTTGTTGTTGTTATTTGGTAACTTGTATGAATTTTGATTTTTTGATTTTGTTTTCGGTTATATAGGTGCAGCTCGATGTAGAAGATAGAGTTATATATTCATCGTGGATTTTGTTTCATTGTTGTATATACTAATGTTGTTGTTGTGTATATTGTACAAAAAGGAGTGAAGAGATGAATATTGATGTAGTTATAATATTGTTTCATTGTTGTATATACTAATGTTGTTGTTGTGTATATTGTGCAAAAAGGATTGAAGAGATGAATATTGATGTTGTTATAATATTGTTTCATTGTGGTATATATTAATCTTGTTGTTATGTATATTGTGCAAAAAGGATTTAAGAGATGAATATTGATGTTGTTATAATATTGTTTCATTGTGGTATATTTAATGTTGTTTTTGTTTAAAATGTTATAATGAAGCTATAATTTCTGGTGCAAAAACGGGTGAGAATAAATTTGATAGGCAGCGTTTTGTTTTAAATGAAAGCGCTGTCTAAAGTGATTGAAAAAAATAATAATTTTAAAAAAAATAAGGAAAAGCGCTGCTAAAGGGGGGGGGGGGGGGGGGGTAATAGACAACGCTTTTCATGAAAGCGCTGTCTAAAGTGATTGAAAAAAAAATGAGGAAAAGCGCTGCTAAAGGGGGGGTAATAGACAGCGCTTTTCATGAAAGCGCTCTCTAAAGTGATTGGAAAAAAAATGAGGAAAAGCGCTGCTAAAGGGGGGGGGGGGGGTAATAGACAGCGCTTTTCATGAAAGCGCTGTCTAAAGTGATTGAAAAAAAAATTATAAAAAAAATGAGGAAAAGCGCTGCTAAAGGGGGGGGTAATAGACATCGCTTTTCATGAAAAGCGCTGTCTAAAGTGATTGAATTTTTTTTTATTTAAAAAATGAGTAAAAGCGCTGCTAAAGGGGGGTAATAGACAGCGCTTTTACCAAGCGCTGTCTAAAGTGATTGAAAAAAAAGCGCTGTCTATACCTTTAGCAGCGGAGGTTTTAGCAGCGCTTTTAAGCGCTGTTAAAGGCCTAAAAAAGCGTTGTCTAATCCCTTATTTGGCATAGTGGCTGCACTAATTATGCAGAAAAAATCTCCTTAAATCTTTGAAAAAATATCAAGTTTCCTAAATTGTCTCAACATCCAATTTTAGAAACTTATGTACAATTGAAGATTAGACCACTTGTTCAAATTAAGTGTTCTTGACCTACAAAATATATTGAGATATATCCAAAAGAAATATTACAAAATCAAATCAAGCCTGTCAAGGTTTAAAACAACATGTATTGATGTTCTGGTTCAGCATGTCAAAACATATGACAGGATATTTGTCTTCATTGAAATCTTCACACTCTGCTATAGCATATTGATCAAGATGTTATGACACCTTGCTCAACATCTGTCATAAACCATGTTTTAGCAAAATTGTTGTCAATTCTAAAATCATGAATCTAACACAATTCTTGCCATCAAGTATTGGAAGATAATTCATAATTTTATTAGTATCATTCATTTTCACAATGATTGATTAACAACAACCCATGATCCTAGAAACATGATCTCTAACATGTGACTCTTAGAAAACACAATCAGGAATCTAAAAGGAGCTTTGATGCCTATTATTTACTGCGTAAGACACCTTTAGTGAGGAGAGAGAGAGAGAGAGAGAGAGAGAGAGAGAGAGAGAGAGGAGAGAGAGAGAGAGAGAGAGAGAGAGAGAGAGAGGAGAGAGAGAGAGAGAGAGAGAGAGAGAGAGAGAGAGAGAGAGAGAGAGAGAGAGAGAGAGGCTAACAACCCCTAATTGAGCTTGAGCTTAGATTATAAGACTTAAATTATATCTAATATTATATCTAATATCTCAAAAGATAGGAATATATATTTCGATATAAATATTTTTTTGAGATATAATTGAGTTGTTGAAGTAGAATTAGATACAAAATAAAATATGTGAAAGAGTTATATCTATATTTCACAGAACATTGAGTGCTTATCTATTCAGTTTGTTATCACGTGTCAAAGGAATACAACAGTGAAATATTTAGTGTTTTAATATCTTCATTCATATTTATTTGAACTACCATGTTAGGGTTTGTTTTAGCATCATAAAACTTGCAATGTACTTTATCTGCACTACATGCTACTACTATACAATCCTATACCCTTTCCATTTC